TCACATTGTCACAGGGCAGAGATTTTGGGGAGAAACCAAGGTGGCTTTCTGCCACACCACCAAAGGCAGTTCTATCAGAGATGGCCTGTCACCAATGGATTTCCAAGGCATCAGGGAAGAGACCAGGTGAGTTTCTTCATCAGCTAAGGCTACCTGATAACATTCTGTTACAGGGGGATTTATGAAGCAGTCGGTGCTGTTATGTTGTCAGTGAGACTGCAGGCGAACTGTCTGGAGTGCAGACAGACAATTAAATTATATAGTGGTTTAAAAAAAGGGAAGGGGAAAGGCAAATTTACTATGGATGAGCTGACTTGCAGCAACTGTTTTGTGTGCTCACTCTATTCTATAGCAAATGATACTGAATCAGGGCAGTTTACCCCCAAATGAAGTAATTGCTAAATGACCCCAACATTACTAGAGAAAGGGCAGAGTTAAGGTTACCAGGGTGCTTTATTTGTCCATTTCCACATCTTCAGGTTAAACTTAAAAGAAATCTAATATGTTAACTATAAATTTTCAGGGGGTTTCAATGCTTCTTTTTTTTTTGTTGAAATTACAAACAACCCTGCAATAGGCTTTTACGCTTTGGTAACTGAGAACTTAGCAACACTGCAATCTGGGAATTAAAAAGATATTAAATTGCAGTCAACCACCAGCTAATAAACAATCTGTTTATCGTTATCAATGCAGCTATCCACAATAACCAAGCTCTCTTCCTTGTCTCTCAAATAAAAATAAATGCGGGAGACTTATGATAAATACACAGCACAGACAAAAACAAATCATCCCCCCAAATTATCTTTAAAATGAATCTTAATTATGGGAAACAAAACAAAAAAAATTAACAAGAAAATCCTACCCTAACAGAAGCAATGTCTTGCATCTACAATGCATGGCTAGAAATGAAGAAATTTTTATTATTACGCCTAAGGTTTCCAAGACACACACACTATCATTAAATGTTATAATTAAAGTACGGGCAATAGAAATTGGTTTATGTATTTTTTAAGCATGCCTAAAAATAACATTAAAATATGGACTGGAATTGTCGAAGGAGCTGAAAGGTATTGACTCCCCAAATCCTCAATGTTCAATTTGAGTTGAGCAGTTAAATGCTTGTTGGTACCTTTGACATTCTCAGTTCCAGTATCTTGAGCAGCAGATTTTTCAAAGGATTTTAGGACAACAGGACAGAATTAGCTACTTCCGCTTTTCTGTTCAAAATACATGTACAAAAACACACTTGCCCACAAAGAAAAGATTTTGGTTTGTTTTTGAAGTAGCATTTTTTTCCTGTTTCATCACAGCATTTTTCTTACTGCCTATTGCTACAAACTGGACACATTAAACCTGTTAAAATGTGCAGTTGGTATAGACTGTTATTACGAACAACAAAGCCCAAAAAGCAGAGCCCGTGACAAAAAGCAAATTTCATAAAACTTTAAAAATAGGACAAAAAATTACTCTTAAAGAAAATGATTACTGGCTGCTTTCTGATGCAAATATTGGCTTTTTTCCTGAGAAACAGAATGAGAAACCAATTTCATGCAAATCCCCCAAAATCCATGATTTTAAAGGTATAGTTATGCAAACGGAGATTGCCAGGAATTCGTCATCCGATTCATTAACATAACTTCAGGCTATTTCTTGACAACAAGGTGCATTTCATTTTCTCAAAGAGCATCTGTATTTTTTTTAAACCAATTACCACTGTGTAGTTTTGCCAAAAACACCCCACAGATCTTTTGCCAAAACCAGGTCAGATCAAAGTCGAGCAGAAAACTGCAATTCTGACGTAAGCCAGGGAGGTTGCAAGGTGTGAGCCATTCAGACCAAAGCCCCAAATCTGCATGTGTTTATGTACATACACAATTTGTACCTGTGCAACTGGCCCTGCTGAACAACTTACATGTGTAATACACAAGTACCGGTAGGTCTCGAACTTGGGCCTGAAACAATCTGAGCTCTTGTCCTCTTAGTCAATTTAAAAATAGGTTAGTTAACAAAGGGAAAGAGGGATCCATTTAAACTCCAGAGGTGACCCCTCACCCCCATCACACACACCCTAACAGAGTTCATATCTGAGACCTCCATTATTTATTTGGGTTTTTTAAGTCTTCCAGCCAAACCTCTGAGCACACACAAGAGTTACAGCAGAACTGCCACCAAAAAAAATACAATCTACCACCAACCTGATACATTCACCGTCCGACACGCTGAGATCAAGTACCTGACGGCATCATTTCAAGAACTATTCATTGCATTTCTCAGCACACACTATGCAGCTTTTGTGGCATTTCTGTGACGTGCTCTGGTAAAATGGGGAAGCCTGTGAATAACTCGACTGTCTCCTCCGAGAGGGCAAAACTCCAAGTTACTAGTTCAAATCATTAAAGAGCCTCGTCTGCCAGCCCTAAACGTCAGCCATAGTTTGTTATTTTGGGTAATTATATTCCACTGACCTAAATCCCCCTGCAGTTTCAATTAGATGCTTCACTTCTACAGCTTGCGACACGACACCTCTTCATTCCCTGAGGTCAGTCTAAAACGACGCTGAGAAAAATCGGAAGGGTCACTCTAAAGACAGCTGTGTTCCTACTATGTCCTGGATGACCAGGCCCCAAACTGAACAGAGATTTTTGAACACTACCGTAACAGAAGTGATTAACGGTGATGATGACAACAATCCCTTGCCCGTAAGGTCAAATGCTGGGATAAAGAAACACAAGGCTCCAGCTTCCTCTCCTGTCAACTCTCTCCACCACTAAATTCATGGCAAGAATAGGAAGGAAGTGACATGAATCTAGAAAAGAATGAGTATAAGATTCAAAGATGCCAACGGTGAAATACCCGCAGCTGGCCATTTAAACACCAACTGGAAACACTACATCTAGGATGCATTAAACAGCAGGCTATCCAGGCTGAAAGTTGCATTTTGAGCAGTAAGTACACAAACAGCAGCTGCGATCCTCAAGTCACCTGAGGGTAGAAGCTCGCCTTTCAGTATTTGGGCAAAAAAGTGGCTACAGGGAGAGTTTCTGGTCCAGAAAGTACAGCAGGGTTTGACCCTCCGCAGTTCACTTCAGACACAGGACACTGGAGAAGCAAAGTTTTCTCCAAGCTGTAAAGGTTGGCAGCTTCCTTCAGCAAAGGCTTCCCTGCCCCCCAGATGCAGGAGGTCACGGGCACAGCTCAAAAAGGAAGCACTCAGCATATCCTGTTTTCAGAAAGGACTAGCTTCACGCTTGGTTTTGAGCAGGAAGGTGTTAAGATTCTGGTGTAAGAAAGTCACAGGGACAGTCAAGGAAAAAGGCTGGGCAGAGCACAGTAAATATTTAAGATTCCTCTGGTATCTATGAAGTTCCCAAGCAGCAATAACAAGGCTCGGTACTTGTGCTAGGTTCAAGGCGCTGTTCTAGCCACTGCACAGAAAACAAGGAGTTAAGGGCTGATTTACCCTATAAAAATCAAGCCCGTAGCTACTGGGGTCTCCCCTGCCTGTCGTAAAGCACGGGTCACTGGTTTTTGCTTACAGAGGATGCGTAAATAGGTTGGCAGGCACTTTGCAAACTTGGTCGACTTTTGTTCATTAACTACAAATAGCACTAAAGAGTGGATGGTGGGGCCAGAACTGAACTCAACCAGCAGAAACACAATAAATGCATCCTAAGGACTCATACAGCAACCTTCTGTTTTGTGCCCTGCAAAAACGAAATGGGTTATTGCAGCTCATGGCAGATGGAGGAGCTCCTCACCTAGGATACTGTACAGGCTCAGAAGGATGCAGCAAATAACGTACATCTGGATGAAGGGGGTGGCAAGAAGCCCCTGCCCACACTGAACCCCCCCTGTTTTAGAGCCAACTGTGGCCCCCAAAGGAGAGCAAGAGTCACTGGGCTCAACTTGTGCGACCCATGCACCAGGCACAGCAGGCATATCTCGCCGGCTAGCAGGCGACTGCGGAGCAGCGCGTGGAAGCGGAAGCCGTGCTCGCTTCTGCCCCTGAAACTGCTGGGCTCCTTTTGGTTTGAATTTTAAAAAAAACCCCATTTGTGGCTCATGTCCCCAGCTGCAGCCCACGCCTCCTCGCACAGGCACACTGCAAGGATCTGAAAGTGGGGGGAGGGGGCTAAATCTCCCCCTCCCCACACCACTGACACACACATGCACCAGAGACACACCCCACAGACGCACACACCCCAGACACACACACACAGAAACGCCACACATACACAGCCATCACACAGACCCACACACATATCCTCACAGACCCACACACACACTCCCACACCACACACATGCACTGAGACACCACACACACCCCCCCACACACAGAGACACCACACACACACCTCCCCCAAACACACCACCCACACGCACCGCCCCCCCCCAGACCCACACACAGATACCCCGCAGTCACACCCCCAGACACCACACAGACCCCGGCGGCTGAGCTGAGCCCAGATGCCCGGGGAGGGGGCAGTCCTCGCGCCCCGCGCGCGCACACGCCAGTCACGCACCTCTCCTGGTCCATGTCGGCGCGGGGCCGGGCGCTCAGGGCGCACCGTGCGGCATGGCCGGGCCGGGCCGGGCCGGG